AATGTAAGGCTACATGGGTGGCAGCACAGTACTTTACATTTACAAGCTGACTCATTAGCTTATCTGGGTACAGAATGCCATTGTATGGGTGCTATTAAACCCCTATGTGATGGCAATAAAATTAGAAGGCAAAAAACCCAACGGCCACTTAAAATTTAAGCCAAAAAGTTTGCACCACCACCAATGGTCTGCTCCCATTTGTGAGCGTTAATTGAATACGTCATTCACTAGTGTGTTCTGCATTTTTTTTTTATTACAAAAGATCAGAGTTGTAACTTAAAAAACCCTGAATAGGGCAAGGTGTGGAAGATTTAAAAGCAATTACCAGTGTGAAACCATAGTAAGGCTGGCCACACACACTTCAGAATTTCTTTAGATTTACCAAAAACCCATATAAATGGAGATCAAACCTAAACATTTCCAATTGTATCCAATTAGGCAGGTCCTCTCACTACATAGTTGAAGGTAAATGTAAAAAGGAAATTGTTTTTTTTTTTCCCCTGGAGAAAATTGGCAACTAAAGCTGGTTGTACATTATACAATTTTCTCCCCAAAGTTGTGATATTAAAATAAAGAAAGCAGACTGACATGAAATGTGCAAGTAAATTAGTAGTATAAATTGGCTACATATCCTGCAGAAAGTTGTGTAAAGTAGATAAATTAAATTTCAAAATTAACTCTCATGCTTAGGTTCACCTTTCCTGCAATGTGGGACAGGAATAGAAAAGCATATGGAGCAGCTTTAATAAAAAGCAATGGCAGGAAGGGTGAAGCTGACCCAGTTTCATCTATACCAGTGGTTCTCAACCTTTCTAATGCCGCGACCCCTTAATACAGTTCCTCATGTTGTGGTGACCCCCAACCATAAAATTATTTTCATTGCTACTTCATAACTGTAATTTTGCAGTGGGAGGAATAGTGCCCTATCATTGGTATCAGTGGGAGGAATAGTGCCCCATCATTGGTGCCAGTGGTAGGAATAGTGCCCCATCATAGGTGTCAGTGGGGGGAATAGTGCCCCATCATTGGTGTCAGTGGGGGGAATAGTGCCCCATCATTGGTGTCAGTGGGGGGAATAGTGCCCCATCATTGGTGTCAGTGGGGGGAATAGTGCCCCATCATTGGTGTCAGTGGGAGGAATAGTGCCCCATCACTGGTGTCAGTGGGAGGAATAGTGTCCCATCACTGGTGTCAGTGGGAGGAAAAGTGCCCCATCATTGGTGTCAGTGGGAGGAATAGTTCCCCATCACTGGTGTCAGTGGGAGGAATAGTGCCCCATCATTGGTGTCAGTGGGGGGAATACGGCCCCATTATTGGTGTCAGTGGGAGGAATAGTGCCCCATCATTGGTGTCAGTGGGAGGAATAGTGCCCCATCATTGGTATCAGTGGGAGGAATAGTGCCCCCATCATTGGTGTCAGTGGGAGGAATAGTGCCCCATCGTTGGCATCAGGGGGAGCAATAGTGCCCCAACATTGGTGTCAGTGGGAGGAATAGTGCCCTATCGTTGGTGTCAGTGGGAGGAATAGTGCCCCATCATTGGTGTCAGTGGGAGGAATAGTGCCCCATCGTTGGTGTCAGTGGGAGGAATAGTGCCCCATCGTTGGTGTCAGTGGGAGGAGGAATAGTGCCCCATCATTGGTAATAGTGACACCAATGATTGGGCACTATTCCTCCCACTGACACCAATGATACTTACCTTGCTGACCCCTGCTCCAGCCTGGGCTCGCTCGCTCCCTCCCTCTCCCATGGTACAAACACTTACCGGTCAGATGGCTTCCTTCTCCGGCCGCTTCCTCCTCTTCACTCGCTCGTGCTTCGCGGTGCCGCTCGGCTCCTCCTTTCCAAGCTCCACCTCCTCGCCGGTGATTGGCCGCCTGTGTGCCTCTCTTGAGCTACAGTTCCGGCGGCCAATCACCGACGAGGAAGGATTGATCCCGGGGGTGTGTCCAGATGACAGGGACGGCATGTCATCCCGCCCACACCTGCAGACGGATCAAGGAGCGGTGTCTCGGTTCCTAAGGCCATCGGAAATATGTGTTTTCCGATGGTCTTAGGCGACCCCTGGGAAAGTGTCGTTCGACCCCCAAAGGGGTCGCGACCCCCAGGTTGAGAACCGCTGATCTATACCAACATCTAAGCTAGCTAGCCACCCTGAACTGGACTTCTCATAGCCCCCAACTGTCCCTACCTTTTCAGTTGTCCCTCTTTTTGGCCTGTATATACAATACTTAAATCGGTTTCTTTTAGGTTTTATCACAAACAATCCATCCAGTCTCAATGTTCTCACATTTGCCAATATGAAAAAAGGAAAAGTGGAAATCAGTTGGTAGAAGCAATTTTGTTTTTCATAATGCCTTTTGGTCCATAAAACGTGGGACATGGTAGGGGTTTGTATTTTGGTTATATAGTAAGAAGGTCTTTCCCCATCTCAAATGTGGGAGGTATGGCTTATAAAGGCAGATTGTCCAAGAGCACCATGGAAGGTGTGAATGGATGTGTGGACATCCTGTGCTAACCAACATAATCAAACCCCAGCCAGGAAATCTGGTTCATGTGTTACCAACGGAGCTTTATGCTTTATTCACCAAGAACATTTTTATTCCATCTATGGGTAGGCTGGTTGGTCAATCAATTAACTTCAGTGCAGCCATCCTGTTTCACCCAAAAATTGCCAACAGTGATCTTTGTATTCTGCTGGTGGGGAGGGTTCCCCACCAACAGAATACAACAGTACTACTGGAGGGATTTCCCCATCAACACTTGACTGTGCTACAGGAAGAAAATGAGCGTTTTCTTCTCTTCAATCTAGACAAAAAAACAAAACAAAATAAAAAAAAAACAAAAAAAAAACAAAAAAAAACAAAGCAGACTGGTATAGGAAGTAGTTTCATTAGCATCCAACCTGAGACAAAGACCTCAGCTGACCACCACCCAGCCGGAGAACGACAGGTCTGATCCTTCAAAATCCATGTGATGCAATGGATACAGAATACAGACCCATCAGCTACAGCAAAAAGGGTCAACATTTGTTGCACATGAAATTGTATGAATTTTTAATTTAAAATGTTAAGTGGGCAAATATAGTTTTAGGTTTTTACCTTTGCAAAAGCGTTGTTTGAATGGTTTGAGATTGATAGATTAAATTTAGAATATACTCTAACTTACAAAAAAAAAAAAAAAACTAAAGTGGAAAAAGCTTTTAATGGTTTCTGAAAATTAAATATACTTTCCACTCCCTCTTCCAGTTGGAGAGCTGGGAATACATGTAGAATTTTGTTTGAAATTATACATTAAATTCTCTTGTCATTTGTGGAGTCAACATTTGTTTTTAATTGCTAAATGTAAAAAAGAATCAGTACGGAAATTTCTTGAATACCTTTCTAGAAGTGTATTTGCTCCAGGCAATTTTTGGGGGGCGGGATTCTGTGCTGGAAGCCAATGTGGCATGCGCATTACATCAGAGGTGGCCCCACCCCACCAAAGTGTTCTTTTGCTCTTAAGCCCACCTTACCTCAGAAGATATCACATCTGAGGTCCCCCCCTGAAATGCAAATTTATCCCTTAAAGTGTTACTAAACCCCAGACCCTGCAGTCACTGTATCCGGTCCCCCCGGACTCTGCAGTCACTGTATCTGGTCCCACAGTACACAGAGTATAGAAATACAATTTTAGTAAGTATAAACTGCTAATTTCTCATTAGCAGTTAGAGCAGTCTTGTGACTTCTATCAGTGTTCAGCAGATCACTGGTTAAAGCTTGTAGGAGTTATTTTGCTGGAGGATGCAGAACCCCTGACGTCTACAGTACATGTGATCAGCACAGAGCCAAAGAAAAAAAACCCTCTAACAATACACACTAAGAGCACTGCAGAGTGACACAATATATCAGAAGATGAGGGGGCACTGGAAGAAGGGGAGGATCAGAAGTAAAGATCAAAAGGTGGAGGATTAACCCCTTAGGTTCCAGAGTATAACAAGAATGCTTTATAGTAACACTTTAAAGTAGAATAGGCAAAATTTACCCTTTTGGATAGAGTATGGGAGGGTTATACCCTGTTAGCTTTTTTGCCATTTGTGGCCCATTGGGGAGATTTCTCTCCACTTCCTGTCCCAGAGCCAAAACAGGAAGCGAGGGGAAATCCCTGCAAGTTAAGGGAATCCTTTGGGTACCCCCAAGTCACCAGAACTAGTGTCCCCTTTAGAAGATTTCCCCTCTAAGGGCAGCCCAAAATTCTGGACTCCTCATTGGTAAACAGGACAGAGTGGGAGAGTGAATCTCCCTAATGGGGGGGGGGGGGGGGGGGGGGGGCGAAAATCAGACCGCAATAGATCCTGATGGAGGTTCTAATCCATCTCCACTATATCTAAAACTAAAGAGTCTTTAGGTATATTTTAAGCCCCACCCTCATATCAGGTCATCTGTTACATCAAGAGCACCCCCCCCCCAAAAAAAAAGGGTTCTCCATTCACAGCAGCCTTGCAACCACACTCCTATGCAAAATCACATGCGATTTGTGTGCAGTGAGATTGAAGCCACACTTTGTATCCTGCACCACATCAGGGTGAACCCGGGCTCACCGTTTATTTTATCTGTGCTCCAATCTGAAGGCACTATGATCTGTTTGTGTCTAAAGAGCAGGTTTGCCAACCTCCTGCGACTTTTTACTGACAAAAACCATGGAAATTTTACTGACAATCTGAAAAAAGGACAGCATTCCTATTACAAATTAAACAGCATAAACACAATATGAAAACACTGGCTGAACTGGATTGATTTGTGTCTCAACCAGATTGCCCATGTAATGATACCCGGAACAAGTATGTTGTCTGGTTTACATTTGAAAAGGGGCGCAGCATGCACAGAGTTCAGGAATGCTGACCACCTTGCAACCAAAAATGACACCCCATTTTCCTCCAAATCACCCCCCTCCACCAGTACAGTGGATTGACTTGTGTCTAACTATGTAAAGAATACCCAGAAGCAGGGGCGGACTGACCACTTGGAAACCCGGGCACTGCCTGGGGTCAGTAGGGGGCCCCAAGAGATGCCCTGGTACCTTTTTCATAGGCTTTTTTGAGTTTGGGCAAGGACATAGGGCCCCTCCGTGATCCCCTATTGCCCGGGGGCCCCATGAGTTGTCAGTACGCCCCTGCCCAGAACAAGTTGCCTGGTTTACTTGTTACAAAAAGTGCAGTGTTCAGGAGTGCAGCACACAGAGCGTAGAGTTCAGGAGTGCTGACCACCTTGCAAACATAAAATTACACCCCATTTTCATCCAGATCGCTACCCTCCACCAGTAGAGCACTCCCACCCTCAAATCCCCCTCTGACAGTAAAACTGCAGATACAGAAGAGCAGCTACAGCTAACCCCAGGACTCAGTGTAGAGGGCAGGCTGCCAGGCAGGCAAAGGATTCAAGCTGCTACCACCACTAGCACTGGGTTTTTTCCCGAGAGGTGGGAGTGATGGAGGACATATTCACTGCGAGGGTGGCAGCCAGAACTAGAGAAGCCGCATCTGCAAATGCAGCCGTCTGCTGACGCTGCAGTTGGCACTCACCCTGGTTATATAGAGGAAAAAAAAAAAGCCCAATTTGCTTCTCTGTATTGGCAGAGGTGCCAGCCCAGTTCTCTGCCTAAGAGAACCCCTGATTTATGGGCAAACAAGCTGGTTTGAAAACTACCAATAAGTTTACAGACTGTTGGCAACCCTTCCAAGGACAGACACAAACAGAATGTCTTAGCAGCAGACATCACATATCTCACCACCCCAGAGTGATAATATTAATAAACCCAGAAGGTTGCACTACCACAATTTCACCACAGTGCTCAGGTGGCGCTCCATTAAACATGAACATTTCCATCCATTTTCAGGTCTAGCAGACTGCATTAAACCTTTAGCAACCTGAGCCTGTGGCTTGTTTAACACATGTACATTCACCTCTGGAGGAACACTCACCAGAGCGGTACCACATTTGTCCTGGGAAACCTCCAGCTCACTGAGCTTCTTGTAGGTCTCTAGGGACAACTCTGCTGCTTTGGACATTGTTGCTAGGGGAGATAACACATCTTGCTTAGTGGTCATCCCAACCTCATTCGACTTAGCATTTTGTCCACATGACACCAATGTAAGCCCAGCAGCAAGGAGCTTCACTGACATTTTTATCATCAGTAATAATTATCACGTTAGAAGGTATAGCATTTTTAACTTTTTCATGAGAAAGCCAAGTGGGTCTCCCAACTGGCATTATTTCCACTTCACCAGGGAAAGTCTCAGACAGTCTCCAACAGTTCCAGCCTCTAGCGTTGACAGTCTTACCCACTGCAGTAGTCATCTCTGAGCACCTGGCCTCTGGAACAACTCTTCTACTGGATTTTAACCATTATATCAGTGCCCCCCATTATGATCAAGATCATCCCAATCATATCAGTGTCCCCCCCACCACATCATCAGTTCCTCCGTCACATTAGAAGCTCCCCATCATATCAGAGGTCCCCCATTACATCAGAGGTCCCCCCCCATTATATCAGTGCCCCCCCCCATTATGACCAAGGTCATCCCAAACATATCAGTGTCCCCCCACCACATCATTAGTCCCTCCATCACATCAGAAGCTTCCCATTACATCAGAGGACCCCCCCCCCCCCCCATTGTGTCCAAGGTCACCCCAATCACATCAGTGCCCCCCCCCCATTGTGTCCAAGGTCACCCCAATCACATCAGTGCCCCCCCCCCATTGTGTCCAAGGTCACCCCAATCACATCAGTGTCCCCCCACCACATCATCAGTCCCTCCGGGGCTTGTAATTGCATGGGACCGCAGGACAAGGATTGCTCCGCCTGTGTCTGAGAATCAACACATAGTCCTGGCGGAGTGATCCTTCCGATCCCGAAACTGCGTGCATTCCTTGCTGTTGCAGCTCAGCCCCATTCCCTTACCTGGGTCGTATTCAGTGGGGGCGGTACTGTCTGGGATTTAGCTGCTGACGTGTATACCCCATACAGCCCAGGACAGGGAGGGCGGAAGCAGACGGGAAGCAGTAAAAAACACAGCTCATCCTTTTTTCTGCCCCCCAACTGCAAGTGTAAACAAGGCCTTATGATTTTGTTCATATGGGAGACCAAGAGGGCAGTAAAAGCAAGCAGTTGAGCTGCGTTTTAAGAACCCCCTGTGATCAAGAGCGGAACACATGCCATGGCCCAGTGCTTGGCTTCATGGCCACGGCATAAGTGCAATGCAACAAGGCCAAGCTGAAACTGCCTGCAATGCACACGGCTACAGTGCGGGGGTCAGTGGGATGGTGAAATATCTCCTCCTTACTGCATGGCACACAACGTCTGAAAATGGATCTGCCACCAATCATTTTTTCAGTTTGGCAGCAATGCTAGGTACAAATCTGAATTTGACAGACTGACACCAACCCTAGGGACGCCCCTGAGCACACCTACTGGTACAGCACATGCCACAAACATTACACGCACTTTGTACCGCTCATCGCTGTTAGCCCCCCGCCCCCTTCCCCTGGGAGGGGCACAATTTGCCATCCTTGCCCAGATGGCGCCATGAATTGTCGCAGCACTGCACACAGGCACCCAATTGTTCTTCCTCCCCCTCCAAGACTGCCGCCTTCTTCTCCCCACCCAAACGCAACTCCCCCCGCTGCTCCTCTTCTTGGACAGGGAAATATCACTCCGACAACCCTGACACCCACAGCTATACACATTGTATTGGTCCAAGTGACTGGGAGTCCCTCCACAAAAGTAAAAGTCCCCCTGGGCAGCAAATTAGGATCCATTCACACTTCAAAATCGTGCAATTTTTATTGCAACTCTACAGTGCAACTTGAATGCAACTTTGATGCAACTTTGGTGCGACTTTGGCTTTGACTAAAGATAATTGTTTCTGCTGTATAAAGTTACACAAAAGTCGCTTGTATGACATTTAGGTGCGACTCTCATGCGACTTTTGAGGGTTTACATTGAAGTCAATGGCCCTCAAGTCGCATGAAAGTCAGACCAAAGTAGTGCAGGAACTACTTTGAAGTTGCTGCGACTTGAAGTTGCACAGATATGGATGGTACCCATTGGGGGGGGGCGGGCGCAACTTGTCATGCGACTTTGGACGCCTTATCGTGGATTACCAGGGCCACTGGGGTAAGCAGCAATATATATATATACATAAAAATTAAATTGCAAATTGGACTGCAGACTGATGAGGGCGCTATGAAGGTGACTGAAGAATGTTTGAGGGTGCCTAAGCATACACAATTGTTATAAAAGTCTTACAATCACTAAACATAAAATCCATATACAGAATATACACAAATAAATCATTATATACAGATCTATACAAAAAAGAAAATAAATATAGCAAAATCTGCTGTCGGTAGAAAGAAATCTTACTGAGCTCAGGTTCACATACGTGCGGTGCGGTATATCGCATGTGATTCGCACAGAAACCGCACCGCATTCCTGTACAAATCACATGTGAATTCTGTGCGGTGCGATCGGAGCCATACATTTCATATGGCTCAAATCACACTGCGTCCGCAACAAAAAAGTACAGGACCCTTTTTTTTGTCTGCACTAAAATCGCATCGCATGGGTATTCACACCTATGCAATCCGATTCTGCACATCGCACTGCCTTTTGCGGACCAATTTTGGGGCGCTGTTAACTTAACATACACACCCGCAGCGGTTCACATGAACGGGGTGCGACTGTGATGCAGAGTGGAATTCGCACTGAAACCGGTGCGAATTCCACACCACATCAGTACATAAAAAAAAACAAGTGACCCAGACCGCTTATGATCGGAAAAGGCAACAAAAACAATTAGCATCTGAAACAAAAAATGTTCTCAAACATTAAAAAATCATAGTTTGTATATCGTTTGACCTTCTAATAGAGATTCATACCTCCTCGGCACTCTGAACGTGTATCTCATCCCTTACTGTGGTGACGCCGAACTGCTCTGGTAAAAGTATGTAAAAAAAAAAAGTAAAAAAAAAGTAAAAAAAAATTGAAAAAAGGAAAAAAAAAATAAAATTGAATTATGTATTATTATTATTATTATACAGGTTTTATATGGTTTTGCGCAGCGCTTTACAGTGTGAGGGCAAACAGCATAGTTATCAGAGGAATCAGAGGGCCCTGCTCATTAGAGCTTACATAAAAAAAAATTTTCAAAAATGTTTATAAGATTTTTTTGTTTAACATACTGTCACCAGTCAGTTAAAAAAAAGTGAAATTGAATAAAAAATTATTTAAATTTTTTTTTTTTTTTTTCACACTGTCACCAGTCATTGTCACTAGAGATGAGCGAATCGAAGTATCCGAAGTGGAATTCGAGTCGAATATCGGAAAAATTTCGATTCGTGCCGAATCCGAAAAACAGCCTAATTCGGACGCGCGCGAATCGAAATTTTTCCGAAAATGGCGGCTGACATGTGCGGCGACGGAGCGGGGATGTCGGGGAAGGCGCGCAGACAAGGCGCGCTGCCCCATAATGCATTCCTCAACGACATGTGATCGCATCAGCCAATCAGCAGCCAGCCAGCCAGCACTGTGTAATGGTCGAGGTATATATAGCGGCCATTTTGGAAATCTTCATTTGCCTGCAGTCATTGAACAGAGGCAGACCGCTCTGTACTAGGGACAGGGACAGAGTTAGGGCCACAGAAACGAGAATTGGGGACAGAGAGAAGTTACTTAGGGACAGAGAACCATTACTCAGGGACACAGACTTGTTAATGAGGGCCACAGAATCGTTATTTAGGGACAAAGAAACGCTAGTTAGGGCCACAGAATTCATACTCAGGGACAGACAGAATTTTCACTCAGTGCCAGAGAATTGTTACTTAGGGCCACAGAAACGTTATTAGGGCCACAGAATTTTTACTCAGGGACAGACAGAATTGTTACTGAGTGCCAGAGAATTGTTACTCAGGGACAGACAGAATTGTTACTGAGTGCCAGAGAATTGTTACTCAGGGACAGACAGAATTGTTACTGAGTGCCAGAGAATTGTTACTCAGGGACAGACAGAATTGTTACTGAGTGCCAGAGAATTGTTACTCGCACAGACACAAAATTGTTACTTGCACAAACACAGAATTGTTACTCGCACAGACAGAATTGTTACTGAGGCCAGAGAATTGTTACTCAGGGACAGACAGAATTGTTACTGAGTGCCAGAGAATTGTTACTCAGGGACAGAC